GTTCTACCTTCTTCATCAAGCATCTCCTCATCTTCAAATTCATCTTCATAATACTGGGGATCAAAAGGTCTGCAACAAATTTTACATTCTTTATTCTTCCAAGAAAATTAATCCAAGTAACCAGCCTCTTCATAAATAGTACATTTAACATGCAGGAATAAAAAAGGCCTTATTCTGAAATTCAAAATTATGTTTTCAATCACTGGAAAGTGCATAAGGGTCAGTGCATTCACCTTTCACGTCTCTGAGAGCCTAAACTTATGCTTACAATTCAACTGATAGCATGTGCTTTCAATTAAACCACATTTTTGTCTGGTTTTCACAGACAATAAGTTATTTAATCAAGCTGAAACTCATTTTCATAATAAAATTATCTGATTAGAAAAAAACAGCCATTACTATTGACTAATCACAACCAAAAATATGCCTCTTAATGTCAACAACTTTATTAGGGTAAACACATACTAAACAAAAACACTAAAATACTTTATCAATCCTGTATTTAATGTGCAATTACCTGGGCTCCACACTGAGGAAGTTGGGCAGCTTCACAAAATACAGATCATTACCCAAGTCTGTGTTTACTTTTGGTATTTCTACCTCTATTCTGGTCTCTGGAATAGGCTCTTCTTCCTGCTGCTCTTGACTCAGCCCATTCTCATCCTAGTGAGAAAAAAGGAGCGTAAGTGAAAAAATCTATCTGGCTACTGCTGCTCTAATAATTATATTTTGCTTAAAGAAAAGTCATTCATAGGCACAGAGAGGTCAGGAAGATTTGGATAAAAGAATTCAGGCATTTTCATTGAAAGGAATTCAACTCAGCATTGTCATGTGGCATTTAAGTAACTTCAAGCACCAGGGCAAACTCAAGAGACCAAAGACAATAAAGAACAGCAAAGGAGCCAACAGAGTGGCTGAGCACTGGAGGCTGGGGGACACTTTCTACCAGATTAAGGAAGTTATTTTTATCTATTATCAATAAAAGATGAAAAATTATCATAAAACCAAAAGTATTTTCCCAAATTGCTGCAATAAGGTACCAAAGACAGCTAAAGCTTTGTATTTTATTTGGTGGCAATCAAACTATTTTTTATATTTTTTTAGAGTTCAAAAAGTGAAGCAGGGATGGGAGAAGGCAGATTAAATCTGATATTGTTATGTATAAAATTTTAATAATTCTTCCAGGGACAAAATTATCTGCAATGCTACTAAATGTCACAACTCTTTTTTTCCCCTAGAACATTACCCAATTCAATTGGTGTTGTGAATTTCAGAGTGCAATGGCATGGTCATTATGTCAAAGGTCAAATCTACTCACAATGGGCTGTCCTGGGGTTGGTGGCTTGTCCTCTCCATCACTCCCTGAGGAAATGTCATCGGCACCTCCAAACAGGTCCATGACATCTGCATGCTCTTAAGCAGAAAAATTACAATTTTAAACCACACATATATATGCACACAATGCAAGACTTATTTATCAAATAAGGAAATCAAGTTGAAAAATGGCAACAGAAGGGTATAAGATAATCCTTATTCAAGAAACTGAACAGAAGTAAAGAAATTTCATTACACATTTTGGAGGTTTTACTTCACAGAAAATAAACACCTCTTCCTCAGCCAGCTAAATCACCACAAATCATAGTACAGGTTCCCTGGGCTGCTCTGATTACAGGAACCATTTTTCAATATCTTTCAGTAAAAATGCATGAAAGAATATTTGCAGAAGAGAAAACTTGACAGAGCTATCTGGAGAGGATCAGCATGTGCATCCCACACAGAATTCCTGATGTCTGTTTGGTTATTTCCATGGCACCGTGCAGCAAACGCTACCAATTCTATCAAGGCCTGTAGCTGATGAATGGCAGGCTCAAGAGAAGGATTAAAGGACCCAAAACCCCACAACCCCCCCCAGCATTTACCTTTCTGCCCTTCTGTGTCACTCTCTGCTTCTGAATCTGATGCAATGGGTTTCTTCCTCTTCATTCGCAGAACTTCATCCTCGCTGTCGCTGCCCCTTGCAGACTCTACCAAGGAGCAGAATTATTGTCAGCAAATTAAAAATTTTGGTCCACAAATTTAAAAATTCCTCTCTATTAATAAGTTCTGAAAGTGCTGCATCAAAAAAAAAATCTGCAAAGATGACTATAGTTAAAAACTATGAAATCAATCCCCTTACATTGAAGTTTCAATCTTTTCAGGCCAATGTGAACAAAAAGAGATATATAAATAAAGAGAGACCAAACCAGCAGCAAATCATTATTTCTGTATTCATTCCTACCAGATTTGTGCTCTTGTTCCTCCTCATCAGAGTGCTGGGCCCTTTCCTCATCATCAGAGTTCTGCATTTTCTCCTCCTCAGACCGCTGGGCCCTTTCATCATCGTCAGAGTTCTGCATCTTCTCCTCATCTGAGGCCTGTGGCCTTTCCTCATCATCAGAGTTCTGCATTTTCTCTTCATCTGAGTTCTGCAGTCTTTCCTCATCATCAGACACCTGTGGCCTTTCATCTTCATCCGAGTTCTGCACCTTCTCCTCATCGTCAGAGTTCTGCTGTCTCTCCTCATCGTCAGAGTTCTGCTGCCTCTCCTCATCATCCGACTGATCGCTTTTGTCCTCCTTGCCCCACTTCTCGTCCTCGGAGTGTGCTTTCTCGGAGCCGTCTCCCTCGGAGCGATGGCTGCCCTCCTCGGAGCCGTGCTCGTCGTCGTCGTGCGCGGCCTCGGACGCGCTGTGCTGCTCCCCGTCCGACTGCTCGTTGTCCTCGTGCCCCGAGCCCTCTGAGCGGTTGTATGATCTCTCGGAGTGGTTGTCACTCCCTGAGTGATGGGACGCCCCTTCGTCCTCGCTGTCGTCCCCGAACAGCTCCTTGTTGCTGGGTTTTACCGCCTCCCTGTCGTCGTCCTGGTCGCTGTCGCTGCCGGAGGCGTTGCTCCCAGAGCCGGCGTTCTCCTGCTCCGAATCGGAATCCGAGCCGGAATCGGAGTCTGCAAAACAAACACCACCCTTCAGCAGTCAGGATGCCCATCCGAGGATGTGTGTGCATTGCTTTAACAAAAACCCCAAACACACAACCGAACCTACAGAGAACGGCCAGCAAGATAAACAGAGTTAGCGAGAATAGTGAAATAAAATGGCTGCTAATAAAAGCACAGCCAAAAGGCACAATGGAAAATGATCAATGGCCCAAAAAGTTTCAAACCACAAGCTGTGATCTAAGATTCTAAAACTGCAGAAAGAATAAAGAATTACACAAACGAAGGTAACAACTGAAACAGTGAGGCTTGAACAAGTAACTAAACAGATGCAGCTTATAAAATCCTGCAAATCCAAAATTGTCACTCTGCATTTAATCCAAGTCATCTCCCCGCAGAGGTTTATGACAATGGAGCTACTCCTCACTGCCGAGGCTGGTAAATGCGGTTTCCAACAGGAAAATAAAAGAACACCTGCCTTGAAAAGTAATTTGCAGGAAGGCGTACGAGAATTTTTAAAACGTCAGGGACCTAAACCAGGTGTTCCACTGCTTCAGAACTCGGCAGCGGCGGAACAACCTTCCCTGCAGGCACTGGACCCCGGCCCGCGGCGCCGCGCCGCTCCCTCCCTCCATCCCTGCCCCCGCGCTCGGGGGCCGCGGCAGAGGCGAGGCGGGGCGGGGCGGAGCAGCCCGCGGCGGGAGCACCCGGACGGAGTAAGGGAGGGAGAGAGAGCGAAAGAGAGAGAGAGAGAGAAGCCGCCCTCACCTTTGTGCTCCGGCTCCGAGTCCGCGTCGCTGCCGAACAGATCCGCCATGTCGGCCATGGCGGCAGCGCGGCCCCGCCGGCGCCGCGCAGTGACGTCACACGGGGCGCCACCCGCGCAGGCCGCCTGCAGCCCGGCCGGGGCTGCTCTCAAAGGGGGCGCCTCCTCTTAAAGGGGCCGCGCCCGCGGCCGTGAGGGGACATGGCCGCACGGGGAGCGGCACCGCGGGGCCGGGCTGGGACCCGCACCGTGCCCGGCTGCCCCTCCGCACGCTCCCGCCGTGCCTGCAGCGCCCCGCACAGTGCAGCACAGAGCAGCCACGCTCCGCTCCCGGCAGCGCTCGCTCGGGCCCGCAGGTGCCGCTGTGGCGGCGCCGCTCCCGCGCTCTCACGGCCCCGCCCCGCGCTGAGGGAAAGCCGCTCCCTTCAGCGGCACCGGCCGCTCCCGCCCGGCCGGAGAACGAAAGGTTCTCGTATAAACACAAGGGTTTCAAGCACCTCTGTACTAAAAACAGCAAACAAACAAAACCCCGAAGCCACAACAAGAATACAGTACTTTAATCATCCAAAGATTAGTAACTGTTTTACAATCTGACAGCATATAGTGCTGGTATGCTAAAATACTCAATACCTGCTTCCCCAACGGAAATTTAAATGGAATACTTGCTCGTTTGTAGCTTACAAACGCAGGATTACTCGAGTTGCAGAGAGAGTGAGGCTATTTCTTTAAAATACAAGAGTAAATAGGTAATTGTTCTGAAATATTATATTTCCATGCTTAGCTTGGAACCAACAGAATCAACATATGCGGTCATTTGATTTCTGCATTAAGCAGGAAAAACAATCAGTAAGAAAACAGAAAACAGTATCTCTTTCAGAAAAAGCCCTTGTGTTTATGGTAACTGGCTATCACAGTAATACCACCCCTGCACTCACAATCAGTGAAATCATACACAGGATCTCACTCGATGGCATTACATCAGTGCTCACTTTGTTTCTTGAGACTGTTGAAGATTCCCGGCTACAGACTGAATTTCTTCATTTATTCCAAAAAGGATACACACTGCAGGGCACAAAAGTGATTGCTGTTAACTGTTCCATGCACCACACCAAAGGTCTTGCAACAATGTGGATGATTAGACCCTTCTGATTGAAAAAAATTGTTTTCCATGCCCAGCCTGTCAGGTTTCTGTCCTGAAAGTTACAAGCAGTCAAAATTTTAGCTGTTGTCTACAGAGTTAAACCATTTAACTATCAATCTGCCTTTGATTGGAATATAATAATTTACCTGCCAAACTTGATTAAGTAAAAGCAGGAAAGGGATTTGGGCTATTATTTCCATAATCCAGCCTTTCAGTTTTCTCCTTCATTTTCAAGTAGGAGATAACTGCCTAATCTTTTAAGGTAGTGATATAACAACTCATCATAGAATCCCAAAACATGAACCAATTCTGTGAATATGCAGCCCTTCAACAAATGAAGGAAGACATTACAGCCTGTTTTTTGACACAAAATGATAATGGTGCCTAGCAAATCAAAAGTAAAGTGCAGCTTTAGGCAACTCAGCACATGACATGCTTTGGCCATCTTTGTACAGCAGTGTCTGTCTGTAAAACTACACTTAACTTCTGATTGTATGCATATTGTATTAGAACTATTTCAAAGTTTATTTCAAAATCTAAAAAGTTCTTGAAAAGCCCAAACCAAAAGAAGCCCTTTTTGTTATTCATCAGAACACTTCAGGTGTTGTGAGGTTACAGTAAGTGTAGTCTTTGGTTTTAACTGAACTAATTCCAACTTGGTTTTCAGAGCACATATTTATTTGTAATTCTAATAAAACACTGATCTAGAAGAAGGGGGGGAAAAACGTTCTTCCATGAGTATAAACCAGTTATATACATCCTCACTGAAGGCACTATAGTTCAAAATTCTCTGTACAGTTGCAGTAAAACACCTCCAGAATAAAGTCTGTCTTTAAAGATCCAAACCAAGACTTGCAGCAAATTACAGTGTGGGCACAGTGTCAGAGACTTGCTCTGTTTTTACAGTATATACAACCTGATGCAAAATTCTCAGTCCAATGTTTTCTACACATAAATGCTCACCACATTATGATCTTTGGATGAAAACAGTTGTCAGTTGAATTCTCTGTTGCTATAAATACAGCCAAGCAGTCCTGTAGAACGTTTTTGTGAACTCAAAGCAAACTAGTACAAGACAGTCCAAACAGATCTACACCAAAAAGTTTCTAGATTTGCATATTTCAAGTGTACTGTGATTATGTACAGAAGATGAAGTGATTCTTGTTGCCTTATTAGTTTGCTTACAGAACTTTAAACACTTCAACAATGACTACAACCTAGAGAGTTGACACAACATATTGGTTTGGTTTTGCATGTCTTAGGTAGTGTTTCAACATCAAGACAGATACAGAATGGAAAAACCCTTTCTTAAAAGTGTTACTTCATTATTGAAAACTGTTGGATTTGTATGAAGTACAAATAGCTTAATGTAATGTAACTTAGGCCAGTGGTCTTACAGTTAAGGCTGCTTTTCCTGTATAGTTATGCAGAATTTTAAATATGAATGTCCATTACTTCTAGAGAAATTGATACTTATGAATGTAGATAACAATTTTTAAACAAAGAATATAAACTAAATAATGCTGATGAACACATGAAATCAGTCTAAAAATGTATTCAGTTTAGATACAGAGCAAGATACAGTTATGGGACCTTTAGAAAAAGACTTTAAGGACTTAGATGTAACAGAAAAACTGTCGTTTTGCAAGACTCCAGAATTTTTTCCTTGTTTTCCAAGGCTTCCATTTTCTATTAGTCCCTCTAATTCCTTGGGAGAAGTCCTTAGCCAATGTATTTTTGTTTGGCTTGAAAGGATGTCTTTGAACTTGATTACAGTATCAAGAACAAATAAAAAACAAACTAGTAGAATTACAAATAACATTGCTGTAAAAGATTTCTCTTCAGTGCAGATGAACAAAGCTGAACAGCTCAACATGAGTGCAGCTGCTGGGTGAAGAATCCCTTTTCTCTAGAGCATTGTTGTCAGGAATATACACAACACACCCCTCCTGGTAAATACACACCCCCAGATTTTCTTACAAACATTTCAGCTGGGTCAGTATCTGCCCAATCATCTTAAAAGTCCCATTCTTTGACTACATACAATTATACCATTGATTTGCAATTACATTTTTAGTAGAAAGCACAGCCAAAGTCTTGAAATACAAAAAAAAGTTCTTAAAAAACCCCATCAAAACCTATGGTACAGAGACTGGCACAGTTACTGTGTCTCCATCCATCCCAAAACCGTGCTGCATACCAGCAGGTGTTTCTATTCTCTGCTTTAAAAGGAAGGGGGTTTCCAGTCTTTTCCCTTCTAACCAGGTCAGTGTAGTCCAAGGCTGCTGAAGCCCACGGTGCTGCCCGTGCTGACTCCACAGTTCTGGCAGCAGCTTTGCTAATTGTCCCCTTCAACCCTTCTCTTCCGAACTGCAGCAGGGAGACAAGAAAGAGAAGGTTTGCTATGTTAGAATTTTAACTGGTTTTTGGGTTTCTGTCACATGAACAGTTACTTTGCCACATGAAGTACCATAAATTAAGGTAGCTAACACTTAGCATTAGACAGCATTCTAAGCAAATAAGCTGAGCTTATTGCCTTATTCACAAACAGTTGCAAATATTTCCAAGGAAGGACTAGTGGGAAACATTAATCATCTTATGTCTGATAAGCAGACTTAGCCAGGATTCTTTTTTTACAGTTTTTGCAGTTTTTTAGAGGTGAATTTAATTTACATGGCTTCACAAGAAACACTACAAGAGCTTTATGGTATATCTAACACAATTTATACACACAGATGTTACAATCAACAGCCTAACACCTTCCATTTATTAATAGAAACATTCAAATCTCAGAAAATGCAAGAGCAATAAAAATTTGTGATTAAAATAACTAAAAGCTCACGTTATTAAGATTTGAGAATATGCAATATTGATTGAATGACTGGAGTTTTCTTCAACATTTGTATTATTTTGGATGTTTTCACACTATCAAATTATGTTTCCCTTTTCTGTGCAGACAAAGCAAATGGCACTAAAGGTCTTATAGGACACATAAATGACAAAATATAAAGAATATCTCTATTTTGTTTAAAAAAGTGAAGCAAGCATATCTATGTAAGAAGAAACTGAATGCATTCTCAAATTCACTCAATGGAAAGTAGGTGGCAAAAGTTATTCATACCTGCTTTCATCAAACTGCAAGAACAGAGGAAAAGAATTTCCAGCCCTAGACTTCTCCAATCATGCAGTTAACAGCACACACACAAAGAACAGGGAAGTGGTACAACACAGTGTGAGCAAGGAAAAAGAAAAAGATGTAGACTTTTTTTAGAAGGAACGTACAAAGAAAGAAATTAGAGACTTCAAACATCTTGGTTTCAGTGCTCAATACCCAAGTGGGTACTCAGAGTAACCTTCTCTGTAGCTTCAGGGCTGGAGAGATGAAAAGGTATTTGCAGAAACTTTTACTCGCATACTCCAGACTAAGAAAGCAAAGGAAAAAAGGCAGGATATCAATAGAAGCATAGATTTTGAACAGTCAAACACCAATAAGAGAAATACTGAGAGAGGAAACCTTAGAAAGCTGTGAGACACCTGAAGCATTATGATAAAAAACCCAACTGGTTTAGAATCTATTTTGAGAAACAGATATGCAGTGTCTGAGTGCCTTTCTTATCTCTCTGTGCTCTATTCTAGTTATTCATCCCTATCTTTCAGAGCTGTTCTCCACTTTAACCTTTATTCAGAGTGGAATCAGATCTTTAAACCAAATTCCAATTTCCTGTGTCATTCCCTCTAATATATTCCTTAAACACCACTACTACTACTAAACTGCCTGGCCCCTTTTCACACTGATGAGAGGTCACCACAAAGCATCTAAACCAAAAAGATTTAATTAAATAGAATTTTAAAATGAAGTTCCACTTGAATAGATGGACATTATTTTGTAGCTGAGTGCCTCAAGTATTTGACATTACTATACAAACTATTTCCGTCCATGTGCTATGTTATTAACCAATTTTCTGCTGATCCATTTAATTAGGATTCTAACTGATGAGCTCCAGCAAACCTGACTGCAGCAAATAAAGATGCCACTGCTGTCAGCTACTTGTGCATGAACAGAACCACCAAGGGAGAGATTACCCAGTCACATGACAGTTTGTTCAGTTTCCTTGCTCAAGCAATCCCAGTGACATTTGGATTCTGGCACTGAACAGGGCATCCTACACTGTTAGTTTCAAGTACTGATTTTAAAGAGGAAATTAATCTTATCTGAATACAACTGGGTGATCAAAACTATTGTTTTCACTCCCTTTGCCACAACTCACATGAAATTTGAATGCTCTTGTTCTAGACTATGCTAAAAATTCTCCCCTCGTGAACACTCTGCAACAAAACAGAAAACATCAAGCAGCAACAAAAAAGTAGGAGTAAAGCACAGGAGAAACCTGAAACAGATCTACTAATCTTGTGCTATCCTGGTTTTGTCAAGAGAGAAGGGGAATAACCCCTTTAAAGCCTATGCCCCACACCCAGTCAATTAATAGTGTCAGGTCTTACCCAAATCATTGTTTTTTGTGATAGCTGCAGCTGCCCTGGCTCGAGGTCCCTGTTGTGTGAAATGGTATCCAAACTTGAGGATCTTGTTGTTTTCTTCAAGCATCTTGGCAATTTCTACTTCTGCAGCTGTGCCCAGCTGCTGCCTCTGTTAAAATAAAAGGTACACAAAGACAACAGAGCTTAGGTGTGTTCATCTTGAAAGAGATCCAAATACTTTTCCCATATCAGTCAATAAAACACTCGGCTTCATTCTAGTTAATCAGATAGGCAGAAGGTCCTAAAATATATTTGTACACTTTAAAGCACAAGGAAGCACAGAAATCAACCTTAGCTGGATGCTTCTGACAATCTTAAGGACAATTGTTGATGGTGATAAGATAATTAAAGATAAAATATTTGAAGAGTATGTCGCAGGCTGTCTTGTAAAAACATTCAATTAGGATTGGCTGGGTTTAGCTATGATATCACCACCACCTCACTTACCTGATTATCAATTTTGATCTCTGTCAACGTTTCATTGTCTTTCAGTGCATCAACCAATGCCAGAATTCCAACTCCAGTGATGAAGTTTGATTCTATGTTCAAACTTTTTAATTTTGTGTTTCGTCTCAGCATATCTGCAAGAGCCTTTGAATAGAAGAAAGCATCATTAAACATTTGAATTTTGCTGCAGTACCTCATAGGACACAGCAATAACCACTTCCACTAACTAGTTCCATGGAACCAGCATGTTCAGAGATGCAAGGTGTAATTTTGCAAGCTTTCACTTACTGAGACTGAGATGACTCTTTAGCCAGGCATTATCTACTTTCCCTTCTTAAGTAGCATTCAGTCAAGAGAAGGCCTGTCTTTCTCTTGTTACAAACTAAAAAGCTACACAGAATATAAATGGTCTGAAATTAGCATATTGGAGCAGTTCCATTTTGTAAGCCTTCACAGCACACAACGAGCAATGCAGGCAGCTAAGCAAAGGCCAAAGAAAGGGCATTAGTCAACTGAGAGGAGAATTAGATATGGTTAATTTGTAAACAGGAGATCTGACTTTGAAAGTGCTTTTGTCTACAGATTTGGTAGGAAAAGGTAAAATTCAAAGCTCTAAGCACAGTAGCAGCATTTAGCTAAAGGCACTTTTATACCTGATGTTATTTCTGAGAAAGGAAGAAAACAGGAATGGCTAAGCGCTGAGTTTACTGGCAGAAAAACTCTGAATTTTTTTTCTACCAAGTCACAATACCAAAAATGCAACAAAACCACACCTGAGGAAAGAGGCCTTTATGGATTTTTATTACATGTTTTAGTCCTGCTGAAAAGAAACTTTTTAATTGATCCAAACCCAAAGCTTTCAAATGCTCATTTGTTCATTTAATAGAGTCTTTCAAACTAGTTGCTTTTTTTCTAATTTGAATTTAAAACAAGTGCAAAGGATTGTCCTGGCAAAACAATTAATTTTGTTTTCTTACCTGTTTATTTGTAATTAAATAAGGTACTGCTTTAATTCAACATAGAAAAAACCAACCTGACAATAAGTTATATTTCAGTTTCAAGCTAGATACTTCGACTAATATTATGCTTTTTATACCAATATTTTAAGCCAATTTTTGGTAGCAGGGAGATAAAGAAACAAGTATTTTACAAATTCAACTAAAACTCTAGTTAGTTGAAAAATATTACAGGTGTTTTCAAGTCCTCAAATGTGCTTCCTGCAAATTAATTTTGAATGAACTACTGGCTACTGGAATGAACAGCAGGAACGAAACAATTAGGAAAGAAAGGGAAAAAGGAAGAAGGTTAGCAAAGTGAAAAATAAGGGAAAGGCACTGGAATAAAGAATTCTCCCTCACACATCTCAAGCATTGCTGCACATTAAGTTACTAGTAATCATTTACCAACTTAGATACAACAAATGTTTGTTAAAGAAAACATAATTTACAGCATAGCAGAATGGAAACATTTTCATCCCTGATCATTTAAACTGGGTTAAATTCAATCCCTTAGCATTGCCTTTCCATCCTAACTTCCCTTGCACCCCACTTAAAGCCATTATCATTTGTACTTACAACAGCAACAGGATCATTGCTTCGGGTGGCTGCCAGGCTGAAATTCTTCACATGTGTGTTGGTTTCTAAGGCTTTTGCAAATTCTTTCAGCGTTGGAATTGGTATGTTCTTGAATTAAAAATAGCATTTCACTCTCTTGAGATACACAAGTTTATCCACTCCCCCCAACTTCTCCCACTATCTTATTCTCTTTACAGCAAAATTCCCTACAATATTAACTACCATGGTCTCCAGCAGTCTCACAGTGAAGACCTACCCTAAGATGCAATGGCTGCAGGAGTCACCAATTCTATAAAGCAATCATTTATACAGAATAGTAGCAACCAAGCTTAAAAGGAATAATTTTAAAGAATTAATTAGGGTAGCAAATATCTCAGTTTATTGTATCAAACTTTGGTCTGTTGCCTTTTCAAGCAGTTACTTTGGCTAGCATGTACCTGTTACACAGTATTCTTAAACCATGGGTTTAATTTCCCCAATTTAGTAAGGGGAACAAGCAGCCCTGGTTGCTGGCAAGGCTGTCTCTGGTGTCTGCACTGCAAGTCAGGGGTGCTGCAGTTCTGGTTTCTTTCAAGCAAATATACAAAAGCTTGTCATGTGTAAGAACACAACTGTGTTTTTACATATGACTTAGGAGCAGAAGCTGCCCTAACTTCCACCAGCCCTTTTGTACAAGAATCAGAAGGATTAAAGGTACAAATATCCCTTTACTTGCAATAGAAACTGAGGGCACATTGCTTCATCAAGGACAAAGGATTCAGCAAAGTAGTTAACTCCATGATAATGAGCTGCTGGAACTGCTGCCAGCTTGGCAGCAACAGAAATCTGGGCTGGCAGTGAGAAAGTCTGAGACTTTTTAAATACACATTTGGCAAGAGAAACCAAGATGGCTTATTGGTTTAGCTGCAGGTTCTGAGCTTATACACACTGCAACATTCAGCAGAAAGATTGCTCTACTTAGAATAAACCTATCATGCTCTCTTAGACAGTTTTGCAGCTAAAAGTGTCTTCTACTGATAAAAAACAGCATATTTACTGCAGCCTTCATGTAATTACCTTAATGTTATTTAGATTAACTTCAACAAGACGAGAATCATTATCTTTAATCCTTTGCAGTGTCTCCTCCACATTTGTGGGATTTGGTGGTTCATCAAAAACAGGCAACATTTTCTCACCTTTTACTATATCTGAAAAGTAAGGCATTTAAATGTAATCAACTGGCTGCACACATTCATTGTGAATAAATTATACACATACTAAATATTTCCTGTATTTAGAGATCATTTCATCAGAATTTACATCTCTCCCCCACCAAAAAAGCATACCATCCTCTCCTGACCATATTTTCATCAAGTTCAATTCATTTCAATTTCAAAAGTCCTCACAGCCTTTCTGCCTTTTTTTTCCAGAAAGCACATAGGAGTTGAATTACAAACACAAATATAAAACCTAAGAATCAGCACACACAATGCATGCTTATGCCTATTTTGTCACCAAAAAATGACTTAAATGCAGAGGACACTGTAGTGTATGTATATTTCAACTCTTGCCAGAACTCAATTAGCAATGTTATGGGCATACACATTTCCAGACTAAGGCTGGACAGTCTAAAAGAATGGTGGTGAATGCTATAGGAAATGTGTGCAGTACAGAGAATTGATTTTTCTAGCACTTGTGTGCACACTTACTTGAGAAGCTGTCTTTGTCAATCCCATTACTGCTTCCTACTACATCACAGAACTGATTGTTTGTTATCAAGTTGGACATTCCCAGTATTGCTGAAAAAAGAAAAAAATAGCAAAAATCAGTTTTTACTGTTCCTAATTCAGCTCAGATGCAGGGTTCCCTTAAATAACAAAACTTGATGTTTGTACAATACTTATCAGTACAAAAAGCCATTAAATATCCTAATTATTTGGAAAAAAGGTAGGAAAATAGTTAATTATAGAGATTTCAGTTAACTTTCACATCTTAAAAAGTTCTGACTTCACCAGGTTCAAGCACCAACATTAAAAAGTGCAGGTCAATCACAAAAACGAAGCTTTAGGAATACAGGCACATACAAACACATTGTTATACACAAGAAAAAGCAGTTACATACACATCAAAAACCAGCAGTCTGAGGAATGGACTTAAAGGTTTTGAGTTTAAACATCAGGAATCTTTTGCAAGCCAAAATAATTAATTTCCTCACAAATGATCACAAATCAACAAAGTGAAACACTTTAAGCAAACTGGCAAAAAAAATAATCTGGCTTCTATCACAACTACAACATCCTGTAGTAAGATCAATACACCATCACATTAATTATAGATCTTCCTTCTCTAAATATGTGCCAGCCCATCCATTCTTCAAAAAAACCTCACCTGCAAGGTCACCCAGTTCTGTGTCTGTGGCACTGGTCAGGGCTTCCTCCAGTTCTGGATCAAGAGAGAATTTTTCTTCTGTGAAAGACTGTACAGGCTTTTGCTTGGGGATAAATATTTTCCCTGGAGTAAACAAAATGGAAAGTTTGATGTTACTTTGTTTTATATCACTACTTATGTTTCAAATACTATCTTCTTAAAGAATACATATTACATTTAGTGAATACTAGGAGAACCACAGACAACATAAAGGATTCTTCTGCTGTTACAAGTCAGAGATGAGGAAAGAGTATAAACAAGAATAAATTTCCAGGAGTCTGGATCATGATTCCAACCTTATTTGCTTCTCCTAAGGATTAGACAGTAACAAAGACCTGGATTATACATTTTGAACAGTCTAGAAGGACTGTAAGAAAGATTTAGTATCAGTAGAGAAAGCTGAGTTTCCTCTCAAGGGAAAAAGGGTCCCAGGCAGAACTGTAATGGGAATGTGTCAGAGAGAGAATATCACAGTGTTATCTGAGATCACACACCTGACTATTCACTGCAGTTTTTAAACCATACAAAAAATTTCTGATTTCAGATGTTAACCTAAGTTCTGAAGCAAAAAACCAAAGCTGAGTGAGAAAACCATGGTTTGTGAACAGCACCAAACATGGTAGACTTTTCTGCCAGTGACACTATTTTCTAAAATGATACTTAGAAAGGTCATCAAAACTCAATGGCAAAAGAACCAGGAGTAACATTACATTCTGCACCAGCCTTTAGGTTATTGCAGACAGGTATTGGGAAAACTTATTTTGGAACACATGAATTAGGTAGAGGTCTGTGTACTTACCATAATTCCTGCATGCACCTTTAGGGTAGGAAATCAGAATATGAGAAAGTCTTTCGAACAGTTCAGCTGTGAATGGTTTAGAACTGGTCCTTCAGAACAAAGAAGTCTTCCACTGGGTAAGAGCCAGGACAGGCAAGGGGTGCTTAGGTTCAGGACAAATTAATATGGCAAACAAAAGCTCTTGTACTGATGCATTTGAGAGAAATCGTTCCCACCTATACAACTGTGAATCAAATATTAACAGCTATTTAAGGTTCAAGTTTTTCAAACTTTCCAAGTTGCCTGAGCTATCCACAGAAAGAGCAATGGAAAAGGAGTTCCAGCTCCCTTTTGCCATTTCCTGGGGTAGGAAGTGGTGTTGATAATCACCCTATGAAGTCTCAGTCCTAATTCAGTAGCCCACCCTCTGCCATATCCATAGCTATAAAAAGTATTTCCACAGAGGAATCATCGCTGTCCCAATGTCCCAGTTACAGTGCTAGTAGATGGAATGTAGCATCACTAAACCCAAAATCATGTATTCCATATCTTCTCTAGATTACAGCAGTTTGTGGTCATTTCCTTTTAAAGGAAGTGAATGCATTCCCACTAGCACAGATTACAGAGGCACATCAGGTTTTTCTCTGACAACACAGTCTGATGACCAAGAGCTGTTGCTAGCAACACGGTATCTTTGTTCCTGGGTTGCTATCTCTTTGGAAACTTGTATAAATGGTCATTATCCATATTTAGAAGCAGAAAACAAACCTCCTTACATAACTGTACTGATTCCAAACAGTAGTTAAGTGCAGCTGACATTCATTACCTCAGATTTGATGGACAGTGCAAAAGAAATTGTTGGTGATTCAGGATTAAAAGAAAACCTTCAGAAATTACACATTTCTTCTTCATAAATTGAAGGTTTATGTAGCAATTATGTTTCAGGTTGTTTTGATATATATGATGCAATGCATTTCTATCATTTTATTTTACCAGCATCACCTACTGGGGAGAGATTAACCTTTAAGTTAAACTGTAGTTTATAGAAGAGAATGTTTGACAAGCTTTTCACCAATCCATGAAACACTCTGAGCAGTATACACATAATCTAAAGCCTTTCAGCAGCTATGTTGGTGTTATTTTCCCTCAGTAATACAGGCTAGTAAAAATGTGAGGATTTTGGAGTACAAGGAAGGAGGACAGTGGGATTCGAGCACCTGAGCCTTCAGCCATCCTATCTGCAGCATCAGTGCAGCAGGAAGAGACCAGGAAAATTAAACTAACCTCAATTAAAAGCAACTTGACAAAAATGTATTTTAACCTGATTCAGCCTTCTGTCTAATTCATCCCACAGTGCTCACAAAAAGAGAACTACTTTTCCTGATGTTGCTGTTCAGTAATTCTTAAATTCATAGGTTAGAAATGTCTGGTTCGAATATTTGCTTCCTAAGAGTAATAAAAACTTATCCATATGTGCCTTTCTTTAGAAAACCTAAAGAGAGTGAGAAGTATAATTAGTTTTTACTAAAGTAAAAATGTTAAAAGCCACTGCCCTCCAGAAATGTTCACTGCAGCCAACTCAGTCACATGAGCTGGGTCAGGAGCAGTTTTTGTTATAAAGCAAGTCACACCCTTGTGTACATAATTTCTCATTCACTGGCTTCTTTTCGTCCTAGAACAGAAATCAGAGGTTTACAATGCACATAAAAAAGTAGATCCTTCCCCACTCCCTTCTAGCAATGAACTTACTTCCAGAAGGGTAAGACCCCTGTGTCTCTGGGGACAATGATCTCACTCCAGGCCTGCTGCCAATAGAGTTCAGCAAGTCCCTTCCCCCCTCCTAATGCAAGCTTTAAATAAAACCAAAAACCACTACACATCTGTGCAGCTTGCCTGGCCCTCAAGTGGAACATTTCCAAAGAGCAGGGATTTGATTACATGAAGGAACATGACAGCTCCCTTACAGCCAGCCAGGATAATGCAAAGATGAAGCAATACAACATGAAGAGGCAAATTTCAGGGACGTTCACATCATTTTTGTAATACATATAGGCAGGTGTTCCATGTCTTTCAGCTACATGCTGGATGATGCACATGCAGGATTAAGTCAGAGGCCTCCTCTGCTACACAATGAACTTTCAGTTCCAAGTTCCACCCAGCTGCATTGCTCTAAAGACAGGAACACTGGATGGTGTTTATGGAAGTGCCCTGGACATTTCTCACACAGATGCACAGTATTTAAGGTGGGACTCAGTACCTTGCAGAAATCAGGTCTGTTCAGTGGGGCCATGCACTGCACATTGCTGGTACTATTGTCACACACCCCACACTAACAGGCAGCCACACCTAGCACAGCAGAAGAAAGTCTAAATTCCACTTATAGGGTACTCCATTTGGGAAAACAAATCAAGTGCTACCTGAGAACAACTGAATACAAGCTTTTCTTATCACTGACTTCATGAAGAGAAGTGAGCAACATCTGATGCATTCCTTACATCTCATGTTCCTTTAACTTTCCTTAGTTCAGAAATTTATCTAATCCACACTTCATCAATCTCCAGTTCTTACCATGTAACAGACTTAGATTTATCAATTCCCTTTGAAGCACAATATCATACTAATGTTTCTAATTCAACTTACAAGTGAGTTCCTCAATGTCCTAATGCAGAAGCAGAGTTGTTATCTGCTATCTGATCTGATTACAGGCCACAGAGCAGTAAATTAGAAAACTGTTTTACATTAAAGCTGGAGTATCACATGTTATTTTCTTCTAGTGCTCTTGTATGGAGAATATCAATTTGACAAGCTGCTTCTGCAAAGCTCCTATAGGATATTAGCTTCACTTCACAACATGTAACACACTTCCTTTAAAGACTTTAAAGTGATTGAATGGCAAACAGATAACACAGCATCCCAAATTCTGCTGCAACAGAAGGCAATGGTGATCTGGAGCAACAAGTGAGCAGGGTGCCAACAGAAGAGCTTTAGTTTCAGTAGTAGTTTCAGCTACAGTTTCACTGTTTTCTGGGTGATAGAGATGGAAAAACCAAACCAAACCAAGCCTAAAGCAGAGGTTACATGAACTGCAAATCTAGACAGAACAAACACAACCCAGCAGGAATGCAAAGGGAAGAGAGAGCCACAATTAGAAGAGTGCAAAGGCTGGAAATGCAAAGCTTTGCTTACACAGCACTTAGCTCATGCCTTGCACTATACAGCACAAAGTGCATTACTATCTCAGATATGCCTTTATCTCAGCAGCAATAATTGTCTTCTTCTGCTGTTCCAAGAGAAGGGAGAAGGAGGAGGAGCATTGGTCAGAGTCAGTCAGATGAGTGGAACACACTTGAGGGCAACAGCCTTCAGTGCTGAGGCCTTGCTTTACTGCTTGGATGAGAGCTCCTTCTCCCTGCAGTATACCCTGGAAAATCTTTATGACATACTTCCATACACACACTGAGACAAAGCTAGCTCTGTTGCAATATTACCACACTGATCTCATGAATCTCTTGAACAATGGTTTACTGTATGGTTCAACACTTAATTGGAACAGAATGTGACTTAAATCATTAAAATAATTTTTTAAAACAAAGTAAGTTTTTAAGGATGCTTTTAGAAACAAAATCAAGGCACTGGGAAAATGGAATACAGTATAATTTAGGGATAAAACTTTGCATTTCTTTAGCATTGTTCATTTCACCACAGCAGGACACTTTACATTATTTCAGCTCTTCCACATGCCATAGCACAAAATAAAAGAGGTTCCAAAGACCTGGAGCAATTACATCATCTATCACTGAAAGAGTAGCAACAATATTTTAATAACATGTTACCCCAAAATTAGGTACTTGGGGCATCTGGAAGAGAGTCTTTTCCTTCACACTCTAGTAGGAAAATAAGGTTACCAGAATCAGTAGCAAGACAGGATATTTAAAATTAATCTAGGGTAAGCTTCTTTGATAAATCTGCAGACCAAATCACCATGCAGGACATCAGTTCTGCTAAAATAGAAAAAGGAAAGAGAAGGGTAGATTTTTCCTCTTTTTGCTCCGTGAAATGAAAAATTGGAACAAGTTAGAGCAAGGAGACGAGCCAGAGACACAGAAATATTTTAGCAAATTCTGACCCAACAAACGGCACAAAAAAAAACCAGCTGCAGCTTCAATCCATCTCTCTCCTCCCAATACCTCTGGAACTGAAGGTTATATTTGTCACATTTCTCCTAAATTAACAGGAGAATCAAGCAAGATTTTTCACCTACCCTTCTTCCACAACTTGCTATTGTTTCTCCATAACACATATTTCTAGCTGAAGTGAAAAATTATAACCCAGCTTAGTTGTCTGTTGATCTGTTTTAATATTAACAAAAAACATATTAGGATACAAGCCCTCTATTGAAAAAAACCATCCTACTCAAGTATTAAGTTGCACCCTATCCCCTCTCCAAGTTCTCCATCTAGAGTAGTATCATAATTTCTTGATTTAAATGATTAAATTATTTACAATTGCCATTTTTGTGCAAAATGGCAACAAATGTTACAGCAAGTCAAATTTGAACCACAATACTTTCATGAGGGGAAAATAAAAGGTTATCCCTCACCTACTCCAACATGAGCTTGGCCTTCTTGCCTCCTTCCCACTCAACAGAGCATTAATTTGGATACGAAACATTTGTTTTAATGAATGTTTAGTTTAAATGAAAGTAATTGACATTTAATTTTATTTTATTATTTTCTCTTCTCCTATAGCATTCCTGTAAATGACAGAAGTTACTAAATAGCAACTTTTTTTTTTACAAGATACAGGAAATTTTACTACACTGGTATGACTCATTGCAACATGCAGACAGACTATTTAGTAATACTTTATTACATAAAGGAAATGACATTTGATCTTTCTTAACCAAGCTCTGCATTACAGCTGGACCCTTCTGTTTCTCTGCAAGATTCTCACAGATTTTATCTACCCAAGCAAATACTTTCATGTGTGCATGTAGACGTAAGCTGACTTTAGAGAGCCATTTATGTGAAAGGAGCACTAGCAGTCAGCAGAAAATGCAGTGTTAGAGCACATCCTCCTTGCCCAGCTCACTCACAGGATTCAAGGATTCCCCAATCACCTGTGAGCCCCAAATATACTGAACTCAGTCGCACTTAGCCATCAGCTGCCTCCAACACAGCCTGGCAGATGTGTCAGGAGAGCAGCAGGAGCCAGGCACAGCTGAACACAACATGAACAGGTCCTTGGCAGCAGCAGGGGTGCCACCAAGGCACTGCTGCTGTGGGTGCCTCTGCCTTCCACAGTGAATACACTGAATGGTCCTGCACTTGGTTACTCCTGCAGGTTCAGTCACCAAACTCCCATTCTGCTGTCAGCAAAGAGTGCCACAGTTATCTCTCAATACAAAGGAAATAAAGCAAAAATGCTCTGTGAAGGAAGTCCCTCATACACGGTGCAGCACATTGTAAAGTCACAATCTCTCTATTACTTCAAGAAAAAAGGGAGGCACCAGCATTGTCAGGTAAAGCTATCTGGCACAGGAAGAGAAAATGAAAACACCCCAAACAAAATTTTCACCAAATAGACCCCACAATCATATACACAATCTCAGTGGATAAATGAAGACTCAATTCTGAAATAAGCAATGATTCACACCATAGAATTAAGCAGAATTAAAGGACTTCAAACCCTTAAGAAAAGACCACAAACCACTGCCAGATTTCAAAACTTGTGATGTTAACTATATAATTAGCCAGGAGTAACTATGCAATCTTATTAAACCCTTCAGTAAGGATGCTAGAAAAACACCATGACTGCATACACCACTTGTATGGCCTTGTCAGCCTACATCATCTTCAAACATTACTGTCTACCACAACATCATTCAATTTCTGTAATCCAACACAGGGTTATAAAGGTTGCTGTCTGTATTCAGGACAAGGCATAAGCCACAGGTACCATGACAGCATTTGTCATTATTGACATAAATCAGTTAGCTCTTACTTTGGAGGATATCATGCCCATCAGAACTTCGCAATCTATGATAAAATCTCTGAGTCTTATTTCCTTCCTGTGCTACACACAAAGAGCACACCAGCCCCAGCAGCACAAATGCCTGAACAGGAAACCTCCTGGCCCTGCACAGCAGCAGCCATTGGAAATGCTGTGAGTTAGAAGCATTACAGCTGCCAGCGCTTCAACCAAATTCGGTTCACAGTAGTTCTGGCTCCTCCACGTCAGAGATTTCACAAGCACTCACACGGGAAGGGGTGCTGTTACCTTTCTTTTCCCTTGTGAAAGGCACGTAGTCCTCCCTGTCCTTGTACTCCAGCGCCTGCTTCTCCAGGTATGCCAGGAGCCGCTCCCTGTCGAAGGGAGCCGAGGCCTTCTTGGCAGTCTGGTCCTTCTGCCGGAAGCCTGCGGGCAGCAGCGCGTTCTGCAAAACAAACGCAGCACAGCTCACAAAGTCTGCCTGAGCACCTGCTCAGCTTCATTTCCCACTTCCTCCTCACTCCCTGCAAGGTTCAGCCCTGATACATCATCTTTTGTAGGCAATCTTTGATGCCCCTGCCAACTTCCTTTTTGTGGGGCAGGGAAGGACACAAGGTAATCTAGACATGGAGAATATAATGAAAATACAGCACACTGTGCTCTCAGTAGGATAGGAGCAATTCTTAAAGTGCAATAGCTCCCAGCATTCAATTTGCCAGGTACTTTGCATTTCTTTGCTAGAATCAGCACTGTTTAAATGAGCATTACTAAATAAAACTCAGCTATTTACATTTTAGACATTCAGCAAGAGACTATTTCCTCTGTCACTTACATCCATGTGATTTTAAGTCTTTAAGACAACTGACTCCACTATTATTTAAACACAGTATTTCTGGTTTTGACCTGACTCAAGGTGGGATGTTTCTTTGATAATATCAACATATTTCAACAAAGAGAAAAAAAAAAGGATATTAGTACAGAATGACCAGAATAGAATGTATAGGAATTCTGACTGCCATGAAAGACAACCAGTCCCTTTTGCCAGTTCTCCTCTGTTAAAACATGTGTAAAGACAAAGGCATTTAACGTATCAGTAATATCTTGCAGTGCAACAAAACATAGTCATGTTCATGATCATAATATTCTGAACTGATCCCTGCACATCAAGATTAAACTAATCCTGGTTTTGTTACAGCAAAACCAGAGAGAACCATGAGGTGAAAACACAAGTCTTGAAGTCTGAAATTAGCTCCAATATCTGTAGAGGACAACTCAGCACTTTGTAGCAGAAAGCTGTAATATTCTTTTTTCAGTATCCCATGCTGACATAATCATTCAGGAGCTTAGCAATTACTTGTCTTCTCTTCACAAAGTCAGCATGAGGACAGGAATAGATATAAGCTACCAGATACAGGACCAGGACTCAGAAGAAGTTGGCACCCTCCTACTCCCATCAAGCTCCACAGCAGAAATAATAAAACAAACATGGATGCAAAAGGGCTGTTTACCAGACAGCACTGGAAACAGGAAAGTTAAACAGGCCTTTCTAAATAAACTTTCTTCTCAAGAACATGAACAACAGCAATTCTTATTTATAAATCAATCCCGGAAAGCTCCTCCCAGCTATCCCTCCTTATGTTCTCCTTGGCTGCAGTTGTGTCCACCTTGCAAACAGGAAATAAGCACTATATACACATATATATCTGTGAGATCATCAGCAGGCTATGAAAAAACCCTGTACAAATTATATTGTACAAAGCCTCAATTTATTTTAGACTAGTAATGGAACAAATGAAAAAAAAAAAACTTCTGTTGGCTAATGCCTACCTCAGGATCAAGATCATCCAAAACAGTTTCCAGTTGTTTCAGCTCTTCTTCCGAAAGTTTGCCAAGAATTTCATCCTCATCCAGATCTTTGTACTTGTCCAAGTCCTTTCGAAATGGGAGCGTCATGACTTGGGCAGTAGCAAGTTGCTCAAGCACTTCAAAACCAAGCCTTAATGCTTATCCAGATCTATGAAAAACTTAAAAGAAATAAGCAGAGTTAAGGTAACTATCCCAACCACAAAGCACCTTCAGCCTCAACGTACATCTGTGAAAGGAAAGCTTTGTCACCCAGTGCTGGTACCTGTTACTCAACAGCTGACAAGGAGCACCTGGAAGCTGTGCTTCTTCACTGATGAGACTCCTGTCCCACCATGCCTTTGTCCATCAGTAATCAAACTATACCTAATTAAGCTATATCTATTTTCAAATCAAACTCAATACCCAATCCTCTTGACAAGAACACCAAAGCCATAATTCCCACAGAGCAGGGCAGGGGAGAGGAGATCCTACCATTTATGAATAAAGTTTAACACCTTCATTTTTTACACATAATGAAGCCACAAGAAGAGTTAAGATGCTCCACATTTATTGTTGCTACAGCAGTTCAAGGGCACTTCAGGATAACTTCCTACAAACAAGGTAATTGGTTATTACTGACTCATACCCTTGCATATTACCTACAGAGGAAACAAAGGAAGTTTGCCTCCAAGTTAATTATAGCACTACCATTGAAACAACATTCTGTTCTGTCAAAGGAAAATTACAATAGCTTGATGAAAAGCATAGGAAATACAGCTTCTAAGTGGCAGCACTCCAGTCAATCCTATGACCATTAAAAAATGAAATTAAAAACAATTTTTTGAAAAAAAAATAAAAATAAAGAATAAGCTGGTTGCTAAATGTTCTATTTAGAGGAAACCAGAGTCCTTCAAAATGTACAGTCTCTATAGCACTTCTCAAAGACAAGGAAAGGGCAGGGAACATCTTTTCTAACCTCCCACAATTTTTGATGGAAAAAACAGTTAATCCCATCAGTGTTCTAGCAGACAAGTTGTTTCCTCTCATTTTTCTGAAACAAGTTCTAGGACTCTCCTTTTGTTCAGCCAAATTCTTGCTTGAAGCTGACCACACAGACAAAGAAAAGGTAATTGTGATGAGTCTCCGTAAATAAGCAAGAGAGTCCATAAGGTGTCTGGGAAGCAAAAGCTAAATGTATACATTCCTGTTCATTAGTCTCCTTAAACCCTTTTTTGGGCTGTATTGAAATACTCAACACAGGCCAGGCACACAGTAAAAATATTTTTTCTCCAGTAGTCCCTATCCAAGGACAGATGCCACACCATAAATACAAGTGCATTGCTTCAAATCCACACTTACACTGTCCTTCAAAGCCAGATCAATTCAGTCCCTGCCTCTTCAGCAGCAGGAAAAGGCAGGCTGTATATACATACATGCTATACCAGGGAATCCTTCACACAGGATTCCTCCACCTCAGTTGTTTACATCCAGAAAGGTCTCCCTGGCTGCCACAGTTACATATGGTGACACTTCAATTCAGAGACACTGAACAGACCTGAGCACACAGAGGTTCATCCACACCATTCAGTCAAGTGTGCCTGTAAAATTAATCTGGTTTTAGCAATTGCCTTTGCAAGAACAGTGAATTTCCAGGTCCTATCAACATGTACACCTGAATGAGGAATATATTCAGCTATTTTCAGGATGTCTGCTTTTAAAAAAGTATTGCTGATATAAACAGAACAGCTTTATTGTGAACTACAGTTGACACTGATGGGACCAAAGCTGACCTTTGCAAAGCTCTCTAAAACATAAGGAGGAATTCTCTTTTTTGTGGTAAATTACATCAAAAGAACTCTGGCTTCCTCTGAACTAAACCAAATCATGCTGGAAGAGCCCAGACCTTTTGCAAGAGGCTACAGAGCTAGGGCCATCCAAGTTATTGGCTGCAGAAAATGCAGAGAGTAGCACACCTATGTTTTCCTAAGTTCCAAAAGTAATTAAAGGAGTGACTCTGTGGCCCAGAGAGCCACCTCCTACAGTTTTCATAGTCTGGCAGTATTTGTTTCTCCAGGTGCAAGCAGCTGATGGACAATTAGCTGATGCCACACAATCTGCATGTGAACTTCTCATTCCTGGAGCCTTAATGTTCTGCCCTTCCTTACAGTTCAAGCCATTACACAGGATCACAGGAGAAAAACATTTCCTGCAGCTCATTACACATTGCTCTTTGAGACCAGGCTGCCCTGCACCAAGACACTGCTATTTACCACAGTTCTGCATGTCCATTTGCATTCAAATATTAAAAGGTGCAGTTTTAACAGGTAATTATAAGGAGCAGAATGGTTAGTAAGCTGCAGAATAATGCTGCCCTTACTCTGAAAGAGTTGCACTGCATAACCATACATTACCTTCATCAACATCATCTGTTTTTCCTCTCCATTAATTGCCACAAAATGTTGTCATCCAGAATTAATTACATTTTATTTACTGCATTGGGATATTTTGTATTGGAAAACTACTCATCCTTTGTAATACATTCATTAATTTTCAGGTCACAGCCCTTAGTCTCACTTGTTTGTATACAACCAAAGAAGTCAAGGCAAATCCTCAGGTACAGCATTCACACACACAAACACACACAAAAGTGAAAAATAAAGCCGCAGAACAAAAAGACCCAGTTTCTGTAACTGAGGCCTGGCAAATACAAATTTAAAGAGTTTTGGACATATTTTCTAATACCTATCAGGGATATTTTTTTTAATAATGTGAGACATCTTTAAGTTGTATGATGGTAGCACTGGTGAGCACACTGAGATTGCCTGGCAACGACTCTCAAACATTCCCTACAAAAGCAAACACACCATATACAACACTTGCATACAACATGCTAAAAATCAGGTTTTAAAACATAGTGTAAGGAATTCTCATTGCCTAAAAAGGGCATAAAGGCCAGCTAAAGCCCTAATCTAATCAAACAAGCCTTTCACCTCTCATTAAACACACTTAGTGCTCTATTTGCTTTCCATCACTTGCTGTAGCAGTTCAGCATAGAGACACATGCATAACAAAATACAGGCTTTCAGTAGGAGCAGTTACTTGGCCTGTGAATATTTGTGGCACATTTTATATATACATACACATATATATATATATAGATGTGTATATGTGTGTTCTTAATGCAAAATCATGGGAAAAAAATGTAACCATCAATTCTGGCTTTGCAAATACTTTGCCCTTTTTTCATGAGCAGAGCTAGTTTACTTTCAAGTATCCTTATTAGCTTTACCATGAAAACATTGCACAAAAGTCCAAAGAGTTAATATTCTTTCTCAGATATATAACTGTAACATGAAGTTCTTAACACCAGCAACTTCAAAGTCACATTTAGAGAAACTGAAAGAAAGCCATCACTTCTAGTCCATCAAATGTCAATTCCCTGTTTGTTAAGCAGAAGAGAAGCTGAAAATCAGAAAGGAAGAAATTGTGCTGGACATCACAGAGAAAAAAACTTGCCATTATCCCAGGCCTGGGAAATCAATGAAGAACTAACGAAATGAGAAAACAGCAGTAACTTTGTGTCATTGTATATGCCATTACCTGAATAACCACTTGAAAGACTGTCAAACAACTTTCACACATTTCTTATGCACAAGTCAAAATATTTTTTCTCCCTTCCTCTCTGAAAGTATATTTTTAAAAACCAGAAGATTCTAAAAACAGCAAGCTTCCAATTATCTTTCAAAAACTCCACCCCTTACCCCCCCTGAAATTTCTGTTTTATTCAAAAACATAATTTCTTGGGAGGCAAACAGGAGAAACTCTTTAGATATAACTTGCCCACAGGAAACAACAGTGTTGTTAAAGTTCACTGTAAATGGCTTCCGTGACTTGGATTTTAAAATAGAAGCAACATCATGAAAAACAAACTGAGCTGGGTTTGGCCAGCACAGTCAGAGCTCACTTTAATCTCATTTGTTCCTCATGAGCCTCCTTCCCCCAGCCTCTGGGTGACCCCAGCAGAGCAGGGGGCTCTGGAGCAGGGGGTGTGCAGGGCTGTCAGCATTCCTGCACCACGCAGGGCCCCAGACCCTCCCAGCTGCTTGGAGCAGCCAAAGCTGAGCATTTCCCCAGGGAACCCCTGTGATGGCAACAATTCTATTTTCCAGTGTGCAAGATTGTACAGAACTCTTTATGAAGAATGTACTGCACTTGAAAGAGCTATCTTTACTTACTAAAGCAAGGAGAAAAATGAGTAAATATAAATATTACCATCATGCCAGCAGGTTCCTTGGGATATTTTTGTAATGCCTCATAAGTCTGCTGAACAGCCCAGTGTCTTTCTTAGCAGAAAGCTTTTAGAAACCCACCTGAGGCTTCCAAAGCCCCAGGCTAGGGTAGGACACAGGACCAGGGTTGTCCTGCCCCGGGAAGGAGCAGAGATCCCCCAGCCCGGGGCTCAGGGAGCCAGCAGGTGGCAGCTCGCCTTTGCTCACACTTCTCAGGGTAAACTGTTTTCCAGGCGGGAACACACAACTATTCTGGGCTATTTTCCTAGAAAAGCAAGCCCAAGGCTTCCTTCTGTTCAAAGAGACAATTCACTGAGCTTTATACATGGCAAACTGAGCTTCTCTAATTTCACATTTGTCCACACAGTGACCCAGGGAGTGGAGGGGGACAGGCAGCTACTGCAGAGTAACTACACAGACCATGCAGATGCTTCCATAGTGAAGGAAATCTGAACACATCTGTGTTTCCAGTTCCTGCAAGCTCCTCCTGTGTATCAGAGGGCACCTGCAACCAAAGCCCACTTTGCTCTTTTATAAATGCTGTGTACAATAACACAGAATTGGGACACAGCTCTCCTGCAGACAGGGTGCTCTGAGTGATGGCCAAGCTGCCAAGCTGGCATTGTCCCATAAAAACTTACTCCTGTGTGCCTGTTCCTGAATGCATTGCAGGGCTAAACAGACATACCCAGGGGTATGTCTAAACAGACAACAGCAGGGTGACAGGGCCAGCAGCCCCAAAGCCAGTGCTTGGCAAGCTGCACAGGGCATGGAAGTGGCAGCAGCTCAGCACACCCATGGCACTTGCAGGCACGCTCACCAAACTTGCTGCAGGGCAGGTGTTACAATCCCAAATAAATACAAGGCTGGGATAAGATAAGAATCCCAGGTGCCCAAAGAAGTTCCTCAGTCACAAATCACCACTCCAGCTGTCCGTTCTCCCTCCCAACACGCAGGAAGCTACTAATTGGCCAGGATGAGGGATGTTTAGGCATAACTTTTTCCAGAAAATACCTGGATGTTCTTCAATAGAAACCTGCTGCCCATTAATATAGAGTATCTGCTCCTGGAGGAATTGCCTGCTGGTGTCTTAGTCAAAAAGAAACTTCAGATGCAAGCTACCTGAATGTTTATTGAAACATTCAGTTATCTTTTATCCATTGCAGAAAAGTGGCAAAACTTACAAGCCTGGAACAGAACAGCAGAAGAAATTTAATTCGTTTCCATTCTATTACTTCAGGAAAACTTCTGAGTACAAGTCAATTTCAGGTCCTCCCTTACATCACTGGCTGCTTTTAATCTCTCCACACCTGACACCGTAGCCAAACTTTAGTTATGAGGATTGATCCAGCACATTGCAGCAAACTTTAAGTACACGGCAACCTCCCTAGAACATCCCTTATTTCAACACAACCGCAGAGCGCCAGGCTCTCAGAGCAGGGCCCCGAAAGCCCCGAGCAGCTCCCGAGACGATCCCCGGGCAGGGCCGCACGGGAGGCTCGGGGAGCGCCGGCCCGGTGTCGGTGCACGGTCGCACCCCGCCCCGGAAAGGCATCCATCCCTTGGCCACCGACCGCGGGGAGCCGAGCGCAGGGAGAGCCGTGGAAACACACGCAGCAAACTGAAAGCATTACGGGCACCAGCTCTACAGAAGTTTCCCCAGCCTCCGTTTTCGGGCTGCTCAGCAGAGCGGGGCGCTGGCTGAACATCCAGCCCAGCCCCGCAGCTCCCCCGGCCCCTCAGCCCCGCGCCCACCGCCCGGGCAGGCCCCGCTGTCGGGCCCGCCGCCGCCCCGGCCGGAACCCCCCGCTCCCCAGCACCAGCAGCGCTCCGGGCCCCGTGAGCCGCCGGGGTCCGGCCGGGCGGGCTCAACCCAGCCCCGTCTTCCTCCTCCCACCGGGCTCCCGCAGCGGCGGGCGGAGGGCTCTGCCCGCCCGAGCCCAGCCCAGCCCGGCCCGGGACCCCCATCCCATCCCATCCCGTCCCGTCCCGTCCCGTCCCGTCCCGTCCCGCCGCAGCCGCTCCCCTCACCCTACCGGCCGCCGCTCCCCGCTCGCCCAGCCCGACCAGCAGCGCCGCGCCTGCGCCCCGCGCACGCCGGGAGCCGCCGAGCCGCCCGCGCCTGCGCGCGAGTGAGGGCGGGGCCCCTGGGAGCGGCGGGGCCTGCGCGGAGCCGGTCCCGGTCCCGATACCGGTCCAGGTGCCTGTCCAGGTACCCGCCCGGGCCATGGAGGTGCTCAAGGGCAGGTTGGACGGGCTGTGCAAGGTGCCCCTGTTCGGCAGGGCGCTGGATCGAGGTGATGTGCGGGGTCCCTTGTGAGGCAGCCCGTGCCCCTGGGCTGTGTGGCGGCCCCTCCGCCGGGCACACCGCCCGTGTGCTGCCCCCCGCGGGGCAAAGCGCCGGGGCCGCCCCGCTCATGGGACCCTTCTCGGCCCTCCGCGGCCTTGCAGATCTCCCTTGTAGCTTCTTTCTTCCTTTGGCCCCTTCAGGATCCTCTTCTCCTCTGCCCACACCTTGTTTCTTCTCTGTTGAAACATGCAGCTTCCCCTGTGCGCTGTCAGGCAGGGCACCGCGCAGAGGCTGCAGGGCCCTGTCACGCCCTGACCCGCAAAGGGAGCACGGACGGGGACACGGCGGCTGCTCCTGGCGAGCTCCGGGCCAGAGCTCCTCCTGTTGGCACGGGGCAGGTGGAATCCCAGCACCACGGTGCCCAATGTGCTTAAGGTGTGTGATTAATCATCAGGATTTTGAGGATGTTTCAGCTACCTGCTAAGCACCACCTGTTAGTAAACAATATTCTGGATGCAATTTTTTGAAGGTTTATAATGTGACTAGAAGACTTGGACAGTGGAAGTTCCACTGGTGCTGAAACAATGCACATGCACAGCAAGAGCAGAGGCAGCACGGAGCTACTCACTGCTGGTCACAGAGCTGAGCACAGCAGGAAAAAAAGCCTCCAACATAATCCTAAACTGATTAAAACATACTGTACTTACTCTCCACAGTGCTGATGTGGTAAAAATGAAGACTATTCATTCAAAGTATGTGGCTTGAGACAGAAGTGTCTTCCTGCCTAGGGAATTCACATGGCCATGCCTTGCACCTTTCAGCCTGTTCCTGTTCCTGTGCCATGCCTGCCAGCTGGGCCCCAGACTTCAAATACCATCTGTTCTGTGTCTCACCTTCCATACCCACAAAATGAAAGTTGTGGTTCAGTTGGATATCTGCTGCAAATTAACTGGGACAGATAAGATATTTATTATTAGTGTTGCTTCCATAGCAAATGCAGTGTCTAAATTGAAATGCATTTATTCAGGATTTATTGTGCTAAGGATGTAGAATGGTTCACAGGAAGCAAGTCTGGATGAAATAACAGAGGACTTGACAATAGTGTTATTTAATGTTTTACTGTACCTCACCTTATAAAACAATCCAAGAAAATCCTATTACCTATCAAATCAATGCAACTAAAAAATTTCCAATCCAAATATAGTTGGGGATTGACCAGTTGAAATGCTGCTGGCCAACATTTTAAGGCTTAAACCATCAAGATCTTACAAATGGAGGCTGCTAACATAGATTGGTTTTCTTTCAAGGGCAATTCAGTAATTTTACATTTGGGCAAGAGTAAATTATTTTCTCTACCCTAGGCCTGAAATTTGCTGATCAGGAATCGAACCAGGGGGTTTTATTTACAGGTCACTGAATTTGATCAGTATCTGGTCTTTAAGGGAAGAGATCAAAACATGCACCACACAGTAATCAAGTCCAGATGTTGTCTAGAAGACAAGCTCCAGTTCTAGCAGGAATTAATTAAGCAAAGTCTTACAAGCTGTTTCATAAGGAAACCAGATGAAAACAACAGCCCCTGTGGCTTTTTATTTTAAAAATGCCACAAACATTTTGAAACAACTAACCTCATTTTGGCTACAAATAGTTTAGCAAAATAAAACTTGCTTTTGGGTGCCCCAGCTAATGATTTACTGGTACAACCTGCTGGCAGTAAGCCCAGTTTAGACAGAGTTGAAAAAATGCCAAACATGTACACTACATTCACCACAGAGCCTTTGAAACAAACTGACACTGGGTGTAGGAAAGGCTGAGCCAGGAAATGCATTGTTTTGGGATCCACAGGGTCCCAGCTCTCAAAGGCATCCCCCAGAGTGGAGTACATGTTTTTCTAGGGTAGTTATCCCCTTTTATGTTATATCCTTAGGGTGTTTACTCTGCCACTGCACTTCTTTCAACAGGTCAAACACATAAAAATAAAATTAATCAAAAGGCTAGGTGGGTAAAATGTTATGCAAAGGTTCTGCCAGGGAAAAAATGACAGCTTTGGAGCCTTACCCTACAATCTCAGATGTGCCAGCCTGGGAAATCCCACACATGGGAAATATGGTCAGTGCAGGTGGCCACAGTCATTTGATGTGAATGTATCACAGCAGGCATAGCCCATAAATGGGATCTCCTGCAGCCCAGACAGGGGATAGAGCTCAGATTCATGAATTATATTGAATACATTTGTCTTGTAATGTTGCAGTTTGGGAAGAATGAAGGATTGTCTAGTACATCTGCATTTAATCTATTTACTGTGTATGGTTTTGTTGCTATGCCTCGTAAATACAGGTGACCTGCACCTTTTCTTAAACAGAAACTGATCATATTTCTGATTTCTTGACTGCAAATTCCATGCATGAAGTATAAGGAAGGAAGAAACATGAAACCACAAAGAAGAGCAGAATATTGACTTCAGCCAAACTCTATACTCCTTGCAGAGGATTGTTACATTTTTAACAGAAAGGGATATGGAATGAATTTTTCATCAGATATAAAGCATGCAGATGGGAAAGTCAGCATGGGAGGATTAATTTTCCTTCATATCAACTTAATAAATACATTTTAAGGCGTGACAGGAAAATCTGAGTGAAAAAACTTGTATGAGTTTATCAAAAAGCAAACACCCTAATGTTAACTTTCACTCTGTGTAGATAGCATACATTTCCCTTTCCCAGTATTTGTATAATTATGAGTGACTCATTCAAGCCCTGATCCTACAGACCAAGATTAAATCCCAAAAGAGATTTTGATCTCTGTCAATAATTAAATCCACATTTCTGTCTCATGGCTGAATGAGACCCATTTGCAGGGAAGCTTCAACCCCTCCACCAAACCAACAAATTGCTCTTCAGCCTGAGCCACCAAGTTACAGAGCAGAAGATTTCAAAGCAATTTGGTTCAGCTTGCCTGATGCTTCTGGGACTGAACAAACAAAATCACAGATGCAAACCTTGTTTTCTTTGAATGCTTCAAGGCAGGGAGGGAAAGGGAAAGACTGCAGAATAAATGGATCTGATTATTTCCTATTTCTGTTGATCTGATGATATTTTAGATGTTTGGCAAAAAAGCTGTTAACTTATGACTGGATATCCCATTTTACGAGAAGTCTGAGGCAAGGAGGTTCCAAGCAGGTAACTGCAGCTTTGGAGGATTTTTCTGCACTGCACATTATTGTGGATACAGGTGTTTTCCTTAGCAGCAGTGGCAAAACACCCATGGTAACCCTTCAGCCCCTCATATTAGCCTGAGTTTTCTGCTCTAAGTCTTGCCACAGACACCTGAAGTGTTTGGCAGGGTTTGGTGTTTCCTACTTGTACTTTTTTCCGTAGGAAAATTCAACTCCAGTGCAGCATCTGCTTCTTAACAAGGCAATGTCTTCTTTTCCTGCCAATGTGAAATGAAACTTAAAGGCATCCCAATCATTGGAACAGTTTTTCTGCTGCTTGTGACTCATCACTTAGTGCTCAGAACCAAGGGCCTCTGTTCAACTAAATCACAACACCCAGTGAAAGCATCCTGATAAATTAATTTATGGACATGCTTAATTAAAAGGGGTTCACTTAAATAATATTACTTCCAATTTCAACCAATGATTAACCTTACTATAGAATAATAGAAAAAATATAAATTGAGTTGCCAACACTAATTAACAGAAGAAAGGAAAAATATCAAAAATGGTCTCAGAGGTCAGCACCCTCTACTCCAAAAGTGGCTCCCTGGGCAGACACATCTTGGTTCGGGTGAGGGCCAGCAGGTTTCTGCTGCAGGACCTGTTTGGCTGACTCGGTTTGCAGCAGGTGTTGAGAGGAGCAAACCGCGTTCTTCGGGATCAGCTGGCGACACGTGTGCCCGGAGCTGACCGGGTACCGC